TTCTGTGGCTATAAGAAAAAAATCCATTTTTAAAATATAATTTTTAAAATTATAAATCATTCCACCCAAAAAAAGACGATCATAAAGAGACCACATTCGGGGTAATTAACCCCAATTTCTATCTATCTGCCATCTATCTATGCATGAGGTAACTCAATTTTAAGGATGTTGTTAGAAAACAAACAACATTATTTCACAGTGATGCAAACTTTCCAGCCTATTCAACAACCTCCAAATGTAGTCTGAAACAAAAATCATCTTTCCATCCTTATTTTTTTTTTCAGCCCTTCTAAACTTTATTACCCTGCTTGGATATGCTGCACTCTTCTGGGCATAGAATTTCATAGCAGGTACCAAAATAACCAAGCCATAAAATCGGCTTTATCCAACAATAATTTCCTATTACAATAAACTTTGAGCATATGATTGACTCATTTTACACAAAACAAATATACAAAAAAGGTTAAAATCAATAATTAAATGAAAACTGTAATAAAGATTCCTGATTTAGTTTTCTATTTTCCCATGCAGTTTAACAGCTCAAAACAGCTGTATTGTGGGCACCTTCCTGAAAGGTGCCAGCTGTTTCCTTTAAGAAACAAGTTAGAAACAGAACTAAAATCACGTTTCCAAAGAAGGGTGAGGGAAAATAAGGCTGCTACAAATCAGCTTTTAAAAATGGGCAGTCTGTCAACTTTTTTCTCTCTGATAACCCTTTATTTGTGGAGCAACAGGGGAATTACAAACACATTTTGGAAAATAATGCAGTCTTGAAAACAATTTTCTATTGCACCAAGTCCTCCCTTCACTGGAAGTAGTCGGATCCAAGACTTAATTTCAACACAGTGTTCAATTTATTGCTTGAAGCTATGGCAGCATAGAACTCTTCTTTGAATGGAAAATTTGACCAACTGCTATGAGGTAAATGAATTTTGAAAGTGGGAGAGGGCGGGGGAGGCAAACAACTTTTTTTTTTTGAAGGGGAAGAGGGTGCATACGAAGAGTTCTAAGCAACCACAAAACCTTAAGTCTCTTAGGATGTAAAAGGATGCTAGACCAGAGAGCTCAAAAGCGCTCAGGAGCATGGCTGCTGGAACAGAGGGACTTTGGGGTTAACTGCTACCGGACACCGGGGGAATCCCGGCCTTGGGTAAGACCGGGGTCTTTGGGGGAAAGACGCGCTTCAGAACGGCGCGGTGCGCGGTGATCCCCAGCGAGACCCTGCTTTTCCCGGGGAACCCCTGGGGTGGGCCCCGACCGCCTGGCGCGGGTCCGAGGACAGACAGGGAGGTCCCGGTCAGCCCAGGCGCTCCCCGGGCCATTCGAAGATCCATCACCCTCGGGACCCGGGCCCGAGGCCGGCGCGGTAGAAACTCCCCGATCCCTGCCTCGCCCGCCTCTTCTCGCGTGGGCCCCGGCCACGGGTCTGCCAGTCCTCACTGCGGCCGCTCCCGCCCGCCTCGTGCCGCCGGGACCCGCGCCCTTCCCGCCCCCAGAAGGGCCCCTGCGGGGCTGCGCTTCCCGTAAACTCCCCGCCCCGCGCATCCCCTACCCCGCCTCGACCCCGCCCCCGCGGGTCCCTGGGCAGCGCGTGATTGGCCAGGCCGCGCCGTCACTCTCCGGACGCGTCACCGCCCTCGTTTCCTACCGCCCCGAGACCGGCAGTGCTATTAGTGCTCGCGGGGCCGCGGCGGAGGGCATCGTGCTACCCTGCTCGCTGCTACTCGCCCGCAGGTCGGCGCGCTCGCCCACCTGAGCCGCGCCGGGGCGCAGCGCGCTCAGCCGCCGCCCGGGAAAAAGAGGCAGCTAGTCTCAGCTCGGCGATGGGGAGCGGGCGAAGTTGACGAGTCCCCGGCTCACGCTGCGCCCCTCCCGCCCGAGGTGCGCTGCCCGCCTTCCAGGAGGTGTCCGCGCGCGGCCCTGCCCCACGTGTACGCGGGACACCCCGCCACCCTCCCCCGGGACCCGAAACTTCACCCCAAGTCCAAAGAGTGGGCTCCGAGGGCGGTGCCCGGAGTCGGACTCTGGACTCCGCGCAAGGGGAGCTGTCCTGGCAGCTCGCGAGGCGTCAGAGGGCGGAGACCCGCTGGAAACTTTATCATCATCATCGTAATTACTACGTTTTACTGTGTTCTCTCCCGCAGGGGCTGCAGCCTGCGGTCTGTCGCGCGTGTCTGTTTGCCAAAGAAGCCGCCCCGGGGAGAAGACCCGGAGGGGAGCTGCTTCCCCAGGGCAGACCTGCAGCCCAGCCGAGGGGCTTGGGCGGCCTGGATGCGCAGGACCCGGCCCCGCAGCCGCTGACGCCCGGCGGCGGCGAAGTTTGGCTGCTGAGCGGCGCGGCGCCGGGCCACTGGACAGCGGGCGGCCCGGCGGCCGCGGCCGGAGCGATGCCCGTGGGGGGCCTGTTGCCGCTCTTCGGCAGCCCGGCGGGCGGCAGCCTGGGCGGGGGGCTCGGCGGCGGCGGCGGCGGCAGGAAGGGGTCGGGCCCCGCCGCCTTCCGCCTGACGGAGAAGTTCGTGCTGCTGCTGGTGTTCAGCGCCTTCATCACGCTCTGCTTCGGGGCGATCTTCTTCCTGCCGGACTCCTCCAAGCTGCTCAGCGGGGTTCTGTTCCACTCCAGCCCCGCCTTGCAGCCGGCCGCCGACCACAAGCTCGGGCCCGGAGCACGCGTCGAGGACACGGCCGAGGGGCGAGCCCGGCGCCGCGAAGAGGGCGCGCCCCGGGACCCGGCAGCCGCCCTGGAGGACAACTTGGCCAGGATCCGCGAAAACCACGAGCGGGCTCTCAGGGAAGCCAAGGAGACCCTGCAGAAGCTGCCCGAGGAGATCCAGAGAGACATCCTGCTGGAGAAGGAGAAGGTGGCCCAGGACCAGCTGCGTGACAAGGAGCCGTTCAGGGGACTGCCCCAGGTGAATTTCGTGCCCCCCATCGGGGTGGAGAGCAGGGAGCCCGCGGACGCCGACGTCCGCGAGAAGAGGGCAAAGATCAAAGAGGTGAGTGCGCCGTGCCAGAAATCGTCCCGACGGCCGTGTTTTTCTGGGAGAAACTGGAGACCTTTGAAACTCTTAAGACTACAACATTACAGTGTAGGGAGAGATGGAGGTTTTCCCCTTCCACCAGGTGCTGTGTCAGAGGCTCTTTCGTTCCCTTTTTTTCAGTATCATAGTAAATGTGACCAATTAAGATCTGAGGTTGAATCTCGTTGCTTTTAACTTGCATGCTCTGCTCTGGTGAGCACAAGCCATACGAGGTAGGTATGATAAATACACGGGCAGGTGATATGGAAATCTCCTCCTTCACTGGCCGCTACTCGTTTAATTATCTCTGAGAATAGTAACAGCGAAGGCACTAATCAGCCCCCTAATAAGGCTTGGACGTGGCTTTAAAATGAAGCTTAAATGCAAACGCAAAGCATCAATCAGGCGTTTGATAAAAAGGTTCTAAATAGCAGGGCAGCTCACCCCGCGTTCAATCATGTGACCCCATTCTGCCAGGTGGCATTCTGTGTGTACTTTCAGACTGTAAAGGTGAAACTCGAGAACTTCCCAGCATAGGAGGATACGTTGTTTACTTTTTTTAAAAAAATGAAAATTTAAAAAGCTTGTCTACTGCCTCTTGTATTTCTAGTACACAGTCAGAAATAGGATATTTCATGTGATGCAACAGGTTCGCCTCCACAGGAGCACAATGATGACAAACTTAATCTAGGATAAACATGGACTTTGATAAGTATTGGTACTTTCTTGTAATTTTCTGTTAGAACTTGTAACGTGATTAGTTCATGACCAGCTTAAAGCTGAAGGGGGCCTTAAAAATCATTTCAGGCTATCATTTTAAAGCTGAAAAGTTGAAGGGCCTAGAGCTCCAGAACCAATTAGTGACTGAGTCAGGACTTGAATCGGGAAACCAGGATTTTCTCCCTGTCACCTGTCACTAGGCTCACTGTGGACATGCCTCCTTCCAGTTCTACTCCCCTGTGTGAAACTGAGCCAGGCTGGATCTTACACAGAATCAAGAGCTGTAGGAACCATATTAAAAGCATATCATTCCAAATCTTGATTCAGTTTTCTAAAATACATTATGAATGGAAGTAATATCTTTGCTATTTAAAAAATATTTTCACAGAGTCTCTGTGAAAATAAATTTTGTATTAATATTTTGATCTCGGGTAGATAATCAGGAAAGGAAGCTTCCTGATCCCATTTTTCAGAGAGTGAACAGAATTTTGAGGTAGTGAAGAGGTATTTAGATTAAGTGGTTGCAGAATGAAGACAGCACGATTGTCATAGGATTTGTGACTTTATAATGTAACACCAGATGAACCTGGTTAAGCCGTAATTGAGCAAGTTAAAGTGGATTTGGATCTCTTTCAGTTTACTCTGGGAACAATGCCTTCATTCCTCACATGCAGACAGCTTCCTTCCACAGTCCATCAGCCTTCCTGCTTCTTTGAGACCCCTCCTCAGGCATGGATCCCACCCAGGCTTGGGGGAATGGATTCTACTTACCCGGACAACTTCTATCTAGCAGTTTCCCTTCTCCATGAAATCCTGTCAGTGTTACCCAACATGGAAGGTGTAGCAAAGCTCTACTTCTTACTAAACATCCTCCCAGACTCCTTAAAACTATCCAATCCAAACCATAGGAAATTAATCCTAAATGATCTGTGTCTGTTTGTGTTTCCCTTAAATTTGATGAGTGTAACTTACATATTTCATACCTCTAAATTCATACGAGCTGCCAGTTAGGGCACATGATGTTGTCCGAGGAAAAGATTTTAAGTGCTAAAGATGCATAGATGTTAAAAGCTGTTGGTACTGACCAATAGTGAGTAAAAGTACATTCAGAGCAAAAGCTGTGGGGCAGTAGCAGTCACTTCAGGACAGCATATTAATTGTGTGCATATCCATCCCTATTGGATCCATGTTATCTGTATCTCTAAATCACAAGGTCTTAATTAACCATGTAAAGAAAATTTATGTAGCCTCTGTATAAATGTGGTGCTCACATCTTCGCACCTAGGTGTTTTGAAACTGCCCAGTCTTGCATAAAGTGGTGGAACTGAAAGTGTTCTTTAAAATTCCATGGTGCCGGGAGAACCCAAAAGAGCCAGCATAATTAGCTTCAGTATTTAGTCAAAGGCTAACGGGAAGAAATAGATTATGATTTTCCATCAGATTAGTTCAGGCAGGTGTATTCCTTTGTAAACCAAAAAAAAAAAAAAGGTAATTCATGATGCTGTTCTAAAAACTATGCTGTAAATGTTTGGTTTCAGAGAGGAAAAGTGGTTGCCTTTTGTGAATAGGGCATTGGACTTTAACTTTGCATATTTAGAGTCAGTTTCAGGAATCTATGGACTTCTTGTCATGGAACAGTGGATCTTAGCCTTGGTTTTGTTCTTTATTCTTTCTGTATTTCCTAGTTCTCTTTATACTTACGTTCTCTATCACACGTGAATGCACTAACTCTTTTATAGTTAAAATTTATAAAGTGTAGATAGGCAAGTCTGATGTGTTGGGAGCTTGGACTGTAATTTGGGTTCAACTCATATTTTGTAAATTTGGTTCAAAAGCAGTCAGTACTATTTTTTATATTGCGAACACATTTATGTTTCTGGTACTACAGTAAATTTTTAACAAATTTGTGTCTGAGGGAAGATAATCTGTTAATTTCAAACAGGACATTGCCTAGCACCCTTCGCAAAAAGGTGTTAAGTGCTTTCCACCACTGCTTTGATGGATTGATTTAATACCAAATTAAGATTTTCTTTCCCCACCCCTGTGAAAACTTTGTAAATAACTTGAATTTTATAATACATACATAGCACATACGTATTTTAAAAAGTTTGATCTTGTTAAAATTGTACTCAAGTTGTCCTTAGCTTTAAAAAGCAGTGTTACAGTAATGAAGCACAGAACTTAAAAGAGCACAGTGGAATTTTCAGAAAAATAGTCCATTTACCCTCTTACCCACCTCTTTTTTAAAATCAGGAAACATTTTTAGCATTTTTTTTTTTTTGAGCCTATACAATGAGCTTGTTATGTCTTTTAGGATTAGAGTCTTAATCCACTTTGGAGGATTAATATTTTATTTTTCATTTTCTGAAATTATGGGGGGTCCTGAGTAGCAGAGGCTGAAGACAGTCAAATTGTCAGAGGGGATTCCTCCTTTCTCAGACTGGAATCCTTACCAGTCCAAGTAGGGGTTGGAAGTGTATGCAGGCTGGCAGGCTGGCAGCCTTGGATCTATCACATAAAGCTTTAGGACCCCACAACTGTGGGGTCACAATTGTCTTCTCTCAGTTTCTCCAAACAAGACTTTAGTTTTTTATTACTGACCTATTTTTGTATAATCATAAATTTAAAGAAAATTTTCATATTGATGGCTTGTGATTAAAATATACTTTTATTATATTTTATATTAACATTAGGTATATAGCCTATAATTTATGTTAACTATTGACAATTTGCCCTTTTGGTAAAGATCAGATGTGGGAATAATCTACCTTGACAGGTTACAATGAAACAAAACATTTTTATTTTGAAACTTAACTCTCCAGTTTATTTGTATAGGTAGTCTGATGTGGAAAATAATGTTTACAAAATAATAAAAGCCAGACTGAAGGAGCTTCTACACCCTTGGGTTGCTTGCCTGTTCTGCTACCCTCACTCTGTGACACGCTCCGTACGGAACACAGGCCAGTGGGGCATTGCCCCACCTAGGGGCTCTTCCCCAGAGGAGGGAGGGCATGGAGTGTTTATACAGGATTCTCTCTTTAACAAGTAGATGAATAAATTAAGATTTCAACAGTATAAGTACTTGAATAGATGCTGATTATTGAATATTAATATGCAAAACCAAGAAAAGATTGTTAATGGAGAGTTAATTGTGTTCAGCTTAATTTTCTGTAAGCTATTGATAATTTCTCCAAGAGGAGTATTCTGTCTTCCTCTTATCAGGCAACCAAGATTCATATAAAGAAGCCGTACATAGGACTTAGAACCTAGTTAAAAGTGTGAAAATAAGTTTTTAAAAAATGCATTTTGAAATCAATACATCTGTATTTCTTAGGTGTGCTAATAAACTAAACCATCTTGAGAAATTTATCCTAGTATTTCGTAGGTGTAAAAAGTACCTTTGTATGAGGTCTGAATTTGTTGGAATTCGTTGGAGAACTTACATATTTGAATTAGATTTTATAAGCTATGGTAGTACAAATTCTTTAATTATTTCATAAGCTATCATATGTGCAAATTCTTTATTAAAGAGAGTTTAAAGCATGTGTCCCAAGGTCAAAGAGGAGGAATACCTGCAAGTCTTTGTGAGGGATAAGGTGTATATATACAGAGTAGATCAGAATTACACTGGAACACGCTTATGCCCCCAGCCCAGTGTAGCACCTGTGACCTCTTAATTTATTTGTAATCTACAAAATCATAAACATGGTTTGTCAAAGATGAGTTTAGATTGGTCAAATAGGAACAGTGACTGTGAGCTCCAAAGATACTGTGAAATGATTAGCAAAACAGCTCCTCTAAGTAGGTAAAAAATAATAAAGGAGAAACCTATGTTTGGTAGTTTAGGAAAGAGATTCTTTCTTTGGGAAATGTAAATCCTGACTTTCCCTCTGTGTTCTTAGCCTAGTGCCTTGCTTGGTGTTCAGTAATTGAACTACCTCTACCTCCCTGTCTCCTGGCCCTTTTTACACAAACTACAAATTATTTTTTTCTGTTACCAACAATATGCTGTAAAAATGATAACTTTAAATACCTGATTTTTAAAACTAATCATATGCTCAAAGTATTGTAGTTGGATGAGATCTTAGAGATAGCTCAGCTCATTTCATTTTACAGTAGAGGCAATCAAAACACAAAGATTGTTCAGTAAATCACATCACCATTTAGTGGCAGAGTTGAGTTCAGAAGAGAAGTCCCAATCCTCAGTGAGTGTTGCTCACCATCCCCCACAGGGCTTGCAGCCTAAATAAAAGTCC